TTGCACTCTCAGGCCAGTAGAGATGCTCCTCAAACAAAGCCTTAGCTCCACATCACTCCACCTCCTCCTACTGAACAATTTGTTGTGATTTTTTTAGCCACCAAGCGGCCTCATCCACTGCTGTGCTTTACTTCCAAGTAAAACAAGTAACAGTTCTATTGTGATCCAGTGGATTCTGCTTTGGGCAACCTGTAACTCCCTTGAACCTCACCTCCTCGATCAGCTCCCCAGCCTGCAAAGGGAAGCACCCTTTGAAGCCAGCACCAACAGGATCTGTGATACACCGCTCTCAGGTAGCCCTGAGATTTTTAATGGATGTTATCCAGTAACTCAGTGGAGGTAGTTGAGCACATAGCACTTCACAATATGGATTCACTTATCCAGGGGCCTTAAAATATCAAGATCCTCTATGAACTTAAATTCTTTCCTTTTGGATCCCATTATAAAAACTTGACCAAAGGTGCTTCTGGCCTGAATCCATTCCCATGTTACAGATGTGCCATCCCATCTTCAGCAGGCATTTCCTTTGTGCTTAAATTGCTGCAAACATAGCTAACATGATGTCACACGTTAAAGCAAGGTTCCTTACCCTGCACTATTCATGGTCCCTGCAGACACGTGATAAGGGGGTAAGATGCAAATGATGCCAGGACCACAGATTGGCCTGTGCCTCCATGTCATCTTGTTCTTCCATTGGAAGTACCTGGGGAAAGGAAAGCCTGCCTGCCTGCTATTTCCCCCGCTATCTCAGAAACCACGCAGAAAATGGCTCAGAAACCTTGTAGGAGGAAAGAGGGCCTGGGGAACCCACTCATACAAGCATCCTGAGGCAGCCATAGGAAAGGCCCAGAAGTCCTGCTGTATATATTTTATCCCGCAGTAAGTGGGGTCAGTATACTCAGTAGCTTGTGTAGGCCAAGTTCTTTGCACACCGGTAGGGGTTTTGCCTGCACATGTCCATCACTGCTGATTTCTTCCCCTCAGAAATTTTCACCATCCCCTTCCTGTTCCCCCTCCCACACATCCAGGACTAAGGCCATGTCACTAGCTCCCTCGGTTCTTATCCACATTGGAGTCACCCCTCCTATCCCTTCCTCCCTCATATCAAAGTCCCTCATTTCCCTCCTCATCCCATTCCCTCCCCAGCCTCTGAGTTAACAACCCAAGGCAAACAGTTGGGGATGGCAATGCCGTAGCACACCAGGCTAACATCTCCCAGAGCCTGCAGCCTTCTCACATTTTCAGCTTTACAGGTCCTGCAGCTTCAGTCAGCCGAGCTCATGACTAACACCAGAGGACCCCGACAGTTCCCCATTTCACCCCACATGCTATGCAGTTTTTTCCATCCCCTTCTACCACACTGGAGCTTGATCCTTGAGTTGAGCTGCCATTTGTAAATGATGCCTCTCCTCTCCTATGAATCTCTATTCTGCCAGTATTTGCAGTTCCTTGGAGAGCTAGACCACGCTGAGTAAGAGACAGCTTTCGTTACTCTTGGCCTCTGATCCTTGCAATTACAGAGCTCATCGACACATTAGTAAAATGCAAGTCCTCCTCTGATCCCTTTTCTCTCTTATCCCCCAGTGGTTCTCTGCTTTTCACCAGAAACAATGGAATCCTGACCACTGCTTGGGGCACGGCCTGACATTGGGAGCTAACTCCACCGCTAGAGAGTTATGCTTTTAATTCCCAGAGAAGTCCATTTCCCACCCCTAGAGGAGCTACCGCCTCCATTGTAAGCAGGATGGCTTTGTTTCATGATGAATTTGTTTCTCTAGGGAAGGCTAAAACCCTGGATTTCCCTCCATGGCCGTTTGTACAGTCACTTCCCTCTTCAGCGTTACATTTCTGGTAAACCTTTATTACTAAGGAATGCCTTCAGGAATATTTCATGTGCAAAGCTGAAACAGTTCCAGTTTTACCTGGCACCTCCATCAGCAACACATTTTTTTCCAAAGGGAATTTATTGCTTTTGTAAAGCAGCTTTCTGGACTGAAGTCCTCCGTTTATCTCTACAGTCGGTACAGCAGATTGTACCCAGTAATTTTCCCTGCATCTGTGAGGAGGGGCACCTCCATAGCTGAGGACAGTTCAGTCTTATCAGTTCCACTACGCAGTGCCTTAATCGCTGGGAAAAGCATTGCCTCCTTTTTCAAAAATGGGGTATGTGCAGTCACCCGAATAGGACGCTTAAAATGGGGAGCCACTGCAAATGGGACACCCTCTGGGCATGCCAAGGAGCTCCAGCAGAAAGAGTCTAGGCAGAAAAAGGCACCGCCTTTGGATAAGGGCCTGGAAGTTGCAGGCTTGAGATCTGCCACAGGTTCCTGTTTTGCTGTAATGCACTGAAGTTTCACTTTACAGTTTAGGCAAAATTAATCAGTGCCTTGGCCTGAAAAGCAGGAGGTGCCACGTCTGACCATGTGCTCCTATCTCCAACTGTCACAGTCTCAAGTGTTCATCTGACCCCATGATAAACAGATCCAACTCATCAAAGGGCATAATATTAACACAGAAAGAAAGGGACCATTGTTTTGACGGGACTGGCAAGTATCTGCTTCAGCCTATGACAAGACAAGTGCCAGTGCTGCCACAGATAAGATAGGCTGGCACAGGACCGCTACACATCTTCTTTCAGTGCCTGCAACATCCAGCTGACCTTCTCACCCAAGTTTAACTTCATGGCTGCCTAGATGTTTCCCTGGGTAGCTGTACTGGCTAAAACAGCTCCTGGCCTACCTTGCTAGAGTATTTTTTAGCTGGTTCAGCTATCTGGCTGAATGGCAGGGCTCAGAGGGTTGTGGTCAGTGGCGCAGAGTCTAGTTGGAGGCCTGTAGCTAGCAGCGTCTCCCAGGGGGCAGTCCTGGGTCCAGTCTTGTTCAACGTATTCGTCAGTGACCTGGATGAAGGCACAGAGTGCACCCTCAGCAAGTTTGATGATGATACTAAACTGGGGGGAGTGGCTGACACACCAGAAGGCTGTGCTGCCATCCAGAGGGACCTGGACAGGCTGGAGAGATGAGCGGAGAGGAACCTCCTCAACAAAGGCAAGTGCAGGGACCTGCACCTAGGGAGGAATAACCCCCTGCACCAGGACAGGCTGGGGGT